TTTTAGTTAGGAAAGCTTTGTAAGTGTGTGGAAATTTCAAAAGGCAGAAGGAGAGGTAGGTGGAGAACGATTAAGAACCCACACATCAATTCATTTATGTATAAATTTAGGCTGAGTTACATATATGATAGAGCTTGGGTTCATTTTTTTATTTTCTTGGGGTGTATTGCAAAACCCAGCTACATTTTTGAATATTTCTTATTATTTATTATGTGATGATTTATTTACTTTGATTGCACATTAGAACTAAATGTTTTTCAAAGTTTTCTTACTTTGCTTTGGGGTGGCTCGGACGGAGTTCATTAGACTCTTTAGGATGTTAAATTTTTTACATAATTAAAATTTATTTAAATAAGATGAAAATGAACATAGGTTTTAAAATTAATTAATTTTTTAAAATTAATGCATGACCCCTTTGTGGGTTACTTTTTAAAATAATGATTAATATTTTAAGCCTTATTTATTTCACAGTGACTACTAGTCAATCCTGATTAGCCCAACCCATACATGCATAACATTGAGTCAAAAGCATATAGATTTTCTTTTATAACATAGAGAGATAATTCACTTTGTATAACATAGTATCATTCATGGTCAGACTTAATGATCATTTCCTTTTCTGCGCCTCCCACCATTCTTGTATTTGCATAAGGCCAAACTTTATGGATTTAATATGCTAGGTGGTACCCATTTCTGATCATGGTGGTAAATCTAAGTCAGGGCTACTTAGATCGCTAACGAAGTTTAAATTATAAGTCCCTTTGCGATGTCTTACACATTAGTTAGGTTGTGGGTGTTAGTACTTGATGTATAATACATCCTTTGTAGATCTCAAATCAAATGCCGACGGTATTGGTGTATCGTTGCATATTTTATTGGTGGGTAAGCTCTCTATTATTTAGAGGCTATAAACCACACCCATCCACATCACACTGATGGCGCACTTCCATTTTTCTCTCATGCATGTTTGGTATGAAATGACTCCTCTTTTGATTTCTCTAATTTTGGCCAATTGAGTGCTTGTGTGTGTTGAATAACCCAATTGAGCTTATCTTCCATTTGGATTAGGAGAGCCTATGTATTATCTTATGTACCAAACTCCTGAAGAGAATAATATAACATCTTTAATCAAAAGTTTTCTTAAGCCCTAAGATGTAATTAACCATGGGGGCTTGCGCCCATGGGAAACTAATACCTAAATCAAATAAACCACATTCAAGCTGATGTATTGAATGGAAAAAAATCTCATGATATATTATAGGGTTATATATATTATTATGCATCAAGGTGTGTAGGTGAAAGTCACTATCCTCCATGGTTACTCGTGTGTATAATCCCATTATTCTCTTATTAGCTTGCCTAAATAGAGTGTACCCTTTACATTCTGACCCCCGCTTACAGCTTCTTTTTGGAGGCCCATAATTAACACGTTGATAAAAATAAAAATTTTTATTTTTAATTAGAGTGTTAAGGTCACTAAAGTAAATTGCATTCTCATAATATTTATTTTAGTGTTTATAAAATATCTCATAAACCTTTGTTGAATATATTCTTCTAATAAAAGTACTTTTTGATATTCATCCTAAATACACCTCATTTGAACTAAATTCGTACTACTATTATCTCTTTGTTTGGCTAACTTATACACATATCTTTCACCCTTCATAGTATCTAATATATTATATAAATCATTAAAAGCTTAAATCTTTGCATCATATATTGCTTTCTAAGACTCCTTATGAACCTCTTTATATCTTTTCCAATTATTATAATTTTTACATATAAACCAATTTTTATAACATATATTATTATTTTTTTTATCTTTTTTTGAACATTTTGATTACACCACAAAACTATGTTTACTATTAGGAGTTTTTTCTTTTGATAATCTAAGAATATCTTTTGCAATATTCTTAATACCACTATCTACTTTTTTCCACATAATATTATCTTCCTCATGCTAAAAAAAAATCTTAAGATTTAGTATGTTATTCTCAAAAAATATATTTTGTTAATATTATTTAAATATCTCCATCTAAATTTAGAACAATGTTTTACATTATTTGTTATTTTTTCTCCCTCCATCTTAAAGTCCAAATTAAGTTTACAAGTAATGTTGAGTATATAAAATTTCACTTAAAATAACTTTACAATCTTTGCAATCTAAACAATCTATTTTTCTTATGAGAAAATAATCAATCTAAGTTTTACTATATCCATTCTTATAAGTGATGAGATGCTCCTTTCTTTTCTTTAAAAAGGGATTAACCATTATAAAAACATAAGCTAAAAAAATTAATATGGTCTTATCATATTCATTAGTCGCTCTGAACCCATAGCCACCATGAATACTTTTAAAATCATCTACCTCTCTACCAACATGCCCATTTAAATATCCTCCAATGAAAATTTTTTCTTCAAGAGGCATTTTTTGTATTAATTCTTCTAAGTCATTCTAAAATTTTATTTTTGAACCCATATCTAAACCTGCTTGAGGAGTATAAGTAGTTATAATATTAATTATATTAGCATTAACATCAATATTTAAAGCTGTAATTTTATCTCTAATTCTAATAATGTTTACAGTATTATCCTTTAAACTCTTATCTATAATCACACAAAGACCATTTCTAGTAGACTCTTATCGAAATACTAAAGTTCAAATCCTAAATAATTAATCTCCTTAGCCTTTTTTCCAATCTATTTAGTTTCTTGAATGCATAGAATATTTATTTTCCAATGAATCATAATATATATTAATTTTATTAATTTACATGTAATGATACATTTATTCTAAGTTTCTATCCTAATTTTAGTTTCAAGGACTATCTTATTTAGGGATACTCTTAATCTCCATTACTGTGTCTGTGCTACTTGGATCATTGAAAGCTCAAAAGACAAATGACTTACTCATGGTGAAGAAGGCTTACATTTCTTGTATGGGAAAATTAAAGATAGAAAGAATCACAATTGCATTAGAAAAATCTTCTCCCACCAATGGGACCTTCTCTGATCACACCCTTGTAGTAGAAACTATCATCAACCACTTTAAAGTGTTGTTCAACTCTCCCAAACATGCTTGCCTCTCTAGCTCCCTTTCTTGTGCTAGAGACACTATTCCATGCCATCTTTATTCCATGCTTATGGTTCTTATATCTGATGAAGAAATTAAACATGTGGTCTTCTCACCCTCTAGTAATGGAACTCTTGGGTCTGATGAGTTCAACATAAATTTCTATGCTTCTTACTAGAAGTTTATTAGGTGTCAAGTATGCAAGGCTATCAAGCATTTTTTTCTTACTAGCCATATTTGCACTTGTTATCTTATTTGGCATTTCTTCATCCACTATGGGCTTCTAGCTAAATGTTGGAAAGAAAATATTGCTCTCCCTCGAGGTCTTATTATGCTTTGGCTTCTATTTCTTGGAGACAAGTTTGCATGGTTGCTCTTATTATTAAGAAGAATATTTGTTATTAGGATTGGTAAATATATTTCTTTTTTTCCATGACCCCAAGTGCAATGGGAAGAATTTGTTAGACTTATTGGGTGACTCTCTTCACCTGAATCTTGATTATAATACATCCTTAGATAATTTCATTAGAGATAGTTCTTAAGAGTTTCATATTCTATTTATGCTAATATTAATGCTGCTATTTCTTTTATTCAAATTGATGTTGGGGAAGTGGATAAGCTTTATTAGAGCGGTTTGATGCCTACATTCAAATCTTTTATTGCCACTTATTATAAAAATAAGATCTTTATGAGCTGATGGAAATTTAGATGACAAAAAAAAGTTTACATTCATATTTTTGGTCCATGCTTGGCTTGCCTTGATTTGTGGTCATAAAATTGTGAATAATTTGCTTACTTGCAACATTAAAATCATTCTATCTTGCCTTTTTTTTTTTTGCTTCAATGAGGATGAAAGTATTAATCATTTGCTGTTTGAATGTGAATTCCCTTTTTGCCATCTTTACCACATTCTGCCTTTTGCCGCCTCTTTTCCTATGAGATCAATTTTGACTCAATTTTTTTTGAATACATTCATGATATAAAACATTCTTCACACTATGATAGACAAATTTATTACTTAGCTGCCTGCTATATCATTTACTTTATATGGCATGAAAGAAACAACATGAGATATGACAACTTTATTCGTTCTCTAACTTCTCTAAAATTGGTTATCTTAAAAGCCATTATATCCAAATGGAATGAGAGTAACACTGCCTTGGACATTCAGCTTTGAAGTTTTTTTGGACGATGATGAATGTATTTGCTCATTTTTTTGGGATAATTAGGCCAATTAAGGCATACTCACGCACGCATCGTATACACATGACTCAAAACCAAAATATGTTAATTGGTAACCTAAGCTCCAAACCGAAAGACCAAGATTAGCCATGCATTTTTGCTATTATGAATTTTAGCATGATTATTTTGTGTGGACAGGAAATTTTAGCTATTACGAATTCTATTTTGCATCTCTTTAATGTCATTTATTCTCCTATTTTTGCAAGCAATTTGTGGGCATTGTAAGTTTTTTTCTTACTATTCTTTCATTGTAAAATTGTAATGTCTTTTGGACTTGTTTTTCTCAACATTCTTCTCATTTTTCTTTATGATAAAAGAATTGTTTCTCGAAAAACGAACTAAGATAATGAAAATCAATGCTTATTGTAATAATTTTTTTTGCTAGGGGGCCTTTTGCAAAGAAAAAGCACTTACAGCTGTACCAGGCTTACACTTACCGTTAGTGATCATAACCGCTCTTTGATGCAGTCGGAGTTTCGAAGCGCTTGGTCGCCCAATGCCGACTCCTGTCGCGCCACTGCATTTATTTTTTGATTTTTTTCCCGGTTTATTCTCTTCGTGTACCTTACTTTATCAATTAATCTCTTGGCAATCTCTCCATAAAAGAAGAGGGTAAGCTCACCTCATCCCTGGCAAAATGGCTGTCTGCGGAGGCATTGTTATCGTGATGCGGTCGTTGTTCGCCAACTGCACTAACTTAAAAGTTAAAAGCGGGATTTTTAAAGCTTTAGATTTTTTTTTTTTTTGATTTATTAGTTTCCGTTTCCATTTTTCAACTTTTCCCTTCTGCATTTCTGTTTCCTGTCTCGGGTTTGCATTTAGGCGTCGTTTCTCGGCCGAGGAAGGTAAGATTCCATCTGCTGGAGCGTTTTTACGATTTGTCTTCTGGTTATTTCGTTTTGTAGTGTTTGGACTGTGGGGTGGGATTTGCTTTGCTAGTTGCGTTTTGCGAAGATCCATGTCGGTCGTACATTTTTTAAAGCTATCTGATGTTTTTTGCTTTGATGCGGGTTTTAGCTGCATTTTGGGCGTTCTTCCGTTTAGAGGTCGTTTTTTGGGTTTTATTTTAGACAGAGTTAACTAGGAATCTCTGCTTTGATTTCGTCCTGACTCTGTTCGCTTCTGACTTTCCAATGTTCGGTTAAGTTGCTAAACTTGATTCCTGCAGTGGTTCGATGGATCTAGGGTGATGAAAGGAGTTTGAAGTGGCATGTGATCTGTTTGATCCATTTCCTGCGTTTTTTATTTTTCGTTTCTTATGAGATTCTTGATGAGGGTTGCCATTTTGTAAACTGCGGGCGTTGAGTGGAGTGGAGCAGTTGTGGGTTCGCGGAAATGGAGACTATTTCTGCCAGTGCCAGGGAGGATAGTTCGAATAAATCTCATTCGGTAATGCTCTCTCCGGCCGCTTCATCGGATAGCGCTACGCGAGCAGTGAAATCGGTAAAATCAGGTGGAGTTACAACAATTGGGAAAACTACAGGGTCTCTTTCATCTGCAGGGAAGAAGGCCCAAGGAAATGGGACACGGGGTTCTAGTCAACCTAAATCTACACTTATGAAGCCAACTTTGAGCTCGAGTGCTGCTTCATTACCGAGGAGAAACAGCACGGGAGGCCTTTCTGAGAAGCAGGCTGTGATGGGTTCAATACGCCCGTCAATTGATGGGAAAAAGGTTTCTCCTTCAGTCTTGAACTCTGCGAAGAAAAGTAGTGGTGAATGTAGGCGGTCATCGCTGCCTCCCGCCAGTCCAAAGGGTTCAACACTGGATGCAGCTCTGAATGGGAAAAAAGCTTCTCCAAGACCGCAGTTGCTCTCAAAGTTAAATAGTGGCTCGGCAGATTCTAGGCAAAGGTCAACAATTAAACCATTAGAGCCATTGTCTTACTCGAGGAGTGTGTCTTCGTCTTCTTTGGGAAGCTCTAATGGCCGCAGTAGTCTTAGGAAAACAACTTCGACTGTTTCCTCTCCTTCAGCACGATCACCAGCAGTTACAAGCAGCCTGAAGTTAGGGTCACTTTCAGCATCTGTGGATAGAATTTCTTCACTACCTGGCAGGAAAAAAACTCTGACGACTGTTGAGAGTGGTGATTCTCGTTTCATGATGCTCCCCCAGGTCGATTCTAAAGCTAAGGATGACCTGGTGAGCAACGATACTTTCTTTACGCTATGTTGTTTAAATTATATTTTGCTTTCATTTTAGTTTTGAGTCTATGTTTTCTGAAGGAATACTGATGCTTCAGTGCTACTTATATATGTTTTAAACCTCATCATGGTTTGTTCAAGATGAAGATGTTTCTGATTGCTACTCTTTGCTTCAGCGACTGGATCTACGAGGGCATAAAATTCGTAGTATTGATGCGGTTGGGTTGAATCTATCACCAACCTTGGAGGTATTTTATTATTTCAGACCCTTAGTTATGATAATGTTATTACTAAGTTACCATTATGATATCAGCTAGGGTGAACGATTATTAACATTGTTTTGGACACCATCATTAATTGCTAAATCAAAAGGTAAATACTTTAGGTCGCTGATATGACACCGGTAATAATTTTCATCATGCATTTCTTTTTTGTTGTTCTTGTTTTGTAATCACTGACAAATTGAACTTGCATACTCAACATTGAATCTCATTTTTGGTTCTTTCTTATTTAATTTATTTATTTGTTTGGTCATGTAAAACGTCGGCCTTCTGATGACCCTGTTAGGAGAGTAGATGTATTAGATTTGGTCTATGTTAAGAAAGGTAGAGGTAGACCAAAACAGACCTTGTTAGAAAATATTAGAAATGACATTTTTTATGAGATTTAAATGAGAATTTGACTCTTAACATGACACAATGGAGAAGAAGAATTCATGTAGCCGACCCTACCTAGTGGGATAAAGGCTTGATGTTGTTGTTGATGTTGTTATTTATTTATTTTCACATATTATAATGTCATTCTGTTCTTGAAGTAATGTTGTACAATCTTAATTACTATTAATGAAATTGCAGATTATATGAACACTATTATATACCAGTTAGAATACTATTGTCCTACATAAAAAGCTTAATACTGTAATTAGATAATGTTGACATTATAGGTGCAATTGGCTTTGCCTTAAAATTTATTCATGATAATTACTGGAGCTTGAGCTAAGAAATGGCATCCAAGATGTCAATAAAGTTGTTTACTTAAATAACTAGGCTATTCTTGGACCATGATGGTATGATTTCTGAGCTATGATACACCTTTGTGAACTTAATAAATGTCCATGAAAGATAAATGCCATAAGGGAGATAGAAATGGATCATTCTTACTTGATTGTTTTCTTAGTAAAAATATTTATGTGCCTTTATATAAGGCAGCAAGAGGAGAATTATATATGAAATAGAGAAAAGGTCCAAAATGGTCCTTTTACTAAAGATCAAAATGGTCCCTAATTATATTAAAGGATCATTTTGGTCCCTCAACTCATTAAAGAGGAACCAAAATAATCCCACCATTGGACTATTTTAGTTCATTTTTAAAGACTTAAAGAGACCAAAATAATCCTTTAATATAGTTGGGAGGTCATTTTGATCATTCATAAAAGGTCAAGGGACCATTTTGATCATTTTCCCTATGAAAATATAGTGAGTGAGAGTATTCACAATAATGACAAAAAAAATTGAGAATAATAAATAATGCAAATTCTTCTTTTAAATAATCAAAAAGTTTAATAATTTACATATGATAATACTACTCCGCAAGTTGAAGGTGGCCTAGAAAATGTCAACTTGAGTTTGAAAATAATAGTGACCTCATGCGAAGATGTCAAAGATTTTATTGCCCAAAGGTTTTGAGTGTTGCAAGAGGTTCTTGATTGATTTGTGGAAGAGAGCAGTGTAAATTGGATGCAAAGAGTTTCAGTGAGATCTATTTCAAAGAAGATATGAATGGGATCCTTAAACAAAGGCATTGATAAAGAGTTTTGGCAAAGATATAAAAAAGATAGCGTTGATTGAGGTTTCATAGGACCATTTTGATTTAATGCCATTAAAATCCACTGTGGAAGTGATTTTTATATTAAGATAATTATGAAAAATTATATAGAACATAGAAAGAATTTTCATATGATTTTTTATTGATCTTTAGAAAGCTTGTGATATAGTACAAGACTAATTTTTTGGTGGGCATTACGGCAAAAAGCTGTGTCAAATTTATGTTGAAGTTATTAAAAATATGTTTAATGGAGAATGACTAGTATTAGAAGTCATGATGGGGTGACCCAAGAGTTTTCAATTATAGTTGGATTACATCAATGATCAAAGATTGGGTAGATGGTTCGAAATTTTAGTGGGTGTGATATTAGTTGGTGACTCGTTTTAATTGGTGATGTTTTTATTGAAGTAAATGATAATTAAAATAATGGAGAATAATAATAATAATAATAATAATAATAATAATAATAATAATAATAAAATGCTACGTGAATATGATTAATTTAAATATCTTGGATGTATACATCCATGAGGGCGGTGAAGTAACTTAAATAATTGTGAAAATAATTTTGAGCTTTATCAATCCCTAAACAATGCTTAGATTTTTTTTTATATATAAAAATTATAAAAATCCCATTTAATATACGCAAGTATACGTGCCGAATCAAGTAATATAATGATAGAGTAGAGTATCGATCCCACGAGAAAGAATGTTTACTTGTAAATACTAGTGTTGTCTACAAGGTTTAAAATTACGTAAATAAGCCTTGAGGCTTTTTTCGTCCGTGAGGCGAGGCGTAAGCCTCGAGGCAGTGTGAGGCGTAAGCCTCATGGATGAAGAATTGTGTAAATGAGAATTTAAGTATTCTAGCAGTTAAATAACAGTAAGAGTCTATGATACAATAAAAATATCTAAATGAGAAGTGAACTTAGTGGAAAACAATAAAATAGATGCAATATATGCATATCATAGCATAATTCAAAGTACAAAATCACAAATTGAAGTCTATTAAAAGTCAAAACTCCCAAAGTACAAATAAAATAGAACATCTAAAATCCAATCATGTCCCATCACTAAATGGGTCTTCAAGGGAGGCATATTCATCTCCAATTGTATCTATGAATGTCAAATCTTCATCATCTTCAATGTTACCCACTTTATCTTTCCTGTTCAATAAAAATGATTAGTATGCTGTTAATTGCATATATTTTAAATATAATAACACATAAGAAATTGTGAGATATCTTTGTTTGTTTGTTGTGTTGCAGTACTAGTAGATGTGTGTGGTGTGGAACTAGTGAATGTGCCCGCTTGATCTGCTTCACCCCTCAAGCATCCACACTTAGATCCTCTAACTGCAAGTCTGATAATGACAAATCTTTCTCATCATTTATGAACCACTCATTATCGGACGCCATATCATCACACACCAAAGGGTCATCATCATCCTTCAACCCCTTGTTCCTCAACCTCTTATCTCTTAACCTCTTGTTGTGCATAATATATACAAGGGAGTTCATTCCGAGTGTTGAAAGTTGATTTCTTCTCTTCGTTTGCATTTGACTATATGTGCTCTATTTTCACTCACACCCAGAGGAAGAACAAGTGAGACCCAAAACTCTAACTGCAAAACTTTGTAACTTAGGGGTGAAATCACCAAATTGAATAAACCATTCAACTATTTTCAATAAGACAAACGATAATCAAAACATCTTAAACTATTATGCATGTACGAATACTTTGCAAAAATAAGCTTACCTGGAGAGCGTTTGAAAATAGTAGATCTTGCTGCTTGTAGACTAGAAAATATCTCTCTATTCCGAAACAGAACAAGTTCTAAATCTGCAAGCTCCCTGACGGACTGGTCCGGTATCAGCTGCTCCATGCAATGGTACAAGGCCAGTTTCACCTCTGGATTTGAAGATTTCCATGAGGCGTATGCCTCACCCAGAATTGCGCAATTGCGCCTCTGAGGCGCACCTTAGGAGCCATGAGGCGTAAGCCTCACCTAGACCCAAAATTGCTTAAGTAATGAGGCTCTTTAGGGTAGAATTGTGCAGAGGCGCGCCTCTTATTGCGCAATTTTAAACTATGGTTGTCTACTATAATTACATTAATTATCCTACTCAATAAAAATAAGTTTTGGCGGAGATTCAATTAATTAATTTAAAATAAAAAATTTAAATTAAATACTATTTGGATAAAATATTTTAGATTGATGGAATGTAAATATAATATGTTCTATTTTATATTGATGCTATTAAGAGCATATGCATCAATGAATGCTCAGTCTAGCATGAAGAGATAAATGACAGATTAAATCTTTCAACCTCAATACTGTCATCCTACGAAATCTTATAAGAGTAAGTAAAGCATATACTGTTAACCCCCCCCCCCCCCCCCCCCCCAAACCCCCCCCCCCCCCCTTAAAATTATAATTCATATCTATAAATTTAGTATATGTCAAGCACTATGCCCATGCTTGCATTATACCAATCCAATATACCTAGTTGTGCTTGCTTTTTTATTCCTAGACTCCACATTACACATGATATTAACTACACATATGACCACTATGTGCTTTAAATAAAGACAATATATATTGAAAATATCATTAAATCATTGATGAAAAGAATTCATTAGTACTTCACATTCTATTTACATCATCAATTCAAAATTAGAGAATTTAGCTATATATAAAGAACAAGTGAAGCAAACATATTTTCATTAATTGCAAAAAAAGAAAGAAAATACAGAAGAAAAGATATCACCTGATGAGTTCAATGATCGCCTCTACACTCCTTAAACTTATAGAATTGCTTTCACAAGCATTGGTCAAACACTCTTATGAAGTGGATCTTTTGCTCCATGAATTCCCCTAGTTGTTACTCCTAAGGAAATTGCAGAGAAGCACTATGAAGATTGAAATTAACTAAGCGATTGAACTCTCTTACTAACATTACAAACGGATTATTTATAAAAAAACACATAAAACAAACTTTGGCGCCGTGAGGCGCTAGTCATTTGCGCCACGTTGCCTATATAATGAACTAATGCCGCAGCACTAAAGAATTTCCTCCTCTACGGGCTACAGCGCTGCTGATAGTTGAGTGATGCGGCGTCTACATGACACTCTCCTCGACTTGGTGGTGCTGGAAATTGGTGCCACAGCGCTGTGCAGACAAAGACTGGACTTTGCAGCGCTGATTCCTTCGACGACGTGGTGCTGTCAAACAGAGACTGGGTGCTGCCATGTCCATATTGGGTGCTCCGGCGGAGTCAATGATGGCGTCGCAGCGGTATAGTGTCCGACGCCGCGGCGCTGTATGATACTTGGAATTTCATGCCTTTTATGTATATTTTCTGCACAACACAACTAAAACAACACGATTTCACTAGCAATTTAACATATAAAACATAACATTATTTTCACTCATCAATTATACAAAAGATTGTGTGGGTTGAAGGGGAGATTGAAGAGACAGGCGTGTTGAAGGGACAGTTATGTAGTCATAACATTGAGGATGTGTGGGTTGAAGGGGAGTTTGAAGAGGCAGGCGTGTGTTCTTGTTGAAAGATATTAAATGCTGATGCTGAAACAGTTGGAAGCAAGACAATATTACACAGTGGCAAGGCACTAGAACTGTCGAAGTATGACGTCTATACTACAGCAGTTACTCATGCTTAATTAATCAGAAAGTGCAGAAATTTAGCGCTACTCATGCTACAGAAAACTGTGCGGGAATAAAAATGGTAAAATAAATTTTTGCAAGATACTGTTGTAGATTTGGAAAGGTTCAATTACTAATCTGGAAGATTCATATCGAAGTTCAGGAAAGCTTTGTGGTAGGAAATATGGAAAGAGTTTTGTGGAATTTTCTGAAGGGATTTTGTGTAGATTTGTTCCATTAAGGGGAATGGGTGCTGTGCTTGGACATTGGCTATAAGGAATTGAGTTATAGCTTCAATTAGGCGCAGAATGATACTGGCATTTCCGTGAATGCTGCTAGGATTGCATTCTGTTCACCAAAAATGCTCAGGTTTTCAGAATTTCCTTCCAACGTCTATAGTACAGACTTCTAGCTGAATTTTCAACCTGTCCTTGATTAACTTTAGCAAGAATCTAATGATGCTTTAGTAAGAATTTACACATTTAGGACAAACTCAATTTCAAGTTTCTGCAGCAAATTTGAGCAACGTGTAACATAATTGATGGAAGTAGACGGGGAGGATGGTTGTAATAGTGGATCATTTGGAAGAAACATCAGAGAATGAAAGAAGAACAATATGAGAAAGATGAAGAAGGTACATCTTTACCATGGGTTAATTTATATTGATGGAGAAACACAATCTTCATTGAACCTTGAATACTCCTCCAAGGAGTTGAAATATGCTCTGATGCCATGTTGCAGATAATTGCAGCAGAATTCCTTTTGTTCTTTTTCATCCTGTCTCGAAGGAGGAGGATAGACAAGGAAGTGGAAGATAACGTGAGTTAGAGAGGAAGAAAGGAGATAAATATGTGAGAGGGACAGGCAAGAGGAGGAAATGGGGTGAGAAACTAGGAAATGGAGAGTAATTGTCTGGGTTTGTTTCATTATTCAGTTATGATTGAAAATACAATCCTCAAACACCTTTTATATAAATGAGGATCGTGTCATTTACTTAGAGTCTAAAGCAACAAAAGAAAATACAGCACTGATCATCATAACCTAATATGTGATGCAAGCATAACATGATAAATTGATAACCTCTTTTGAAGACTAATATTTAATGTGTTTTCATTGATCTGATCAGTAAAGGATCGGTAAAGGATAGACAGATTGTAATGATCCTGCATTATAATTTCTTGTATTTTTTTTATTCCTTGATTTACAGACATGTAATAGCACTGTACAATTTATAGTCTTCATTATAATTTTACTGTTATTTCAAATAAAGCTTCCTTTGGGAGTTAATAATGTTGTTGTTTCATAGTTTGTTTATCTCAGGGATAATTTACTTTCATCGGTGAAGGGCATTGAAATATTGAAGCGGGTGAAGGTGAGCCCAGTGTTTTGTAGATATCCGCATATTTTCATTTGTGATTTTGTTTGTGAAGCTAAAGTTAAAGTTCAAATAAACTTGAGTTACGGATTATATTTCTTCTTCTTCTTGATAGGTTCTTGACCTAAGCTTTAATGACTTCAAAGGGCCTGGTTTTGAGCCTCTTGGGAATTGTAAAGTTCTTCAGGTAGGCGGTTCCTTCTCATTTATTCAGAAATGAAATATGATTGCATTTGCCATTTTTGGAATTCAAAAGATATGCAATTGAAATTGAACTTTTTTATTTTGCAGCAACTTTACCTTGCTGGAAATCAAATTACATCACTTGCAAGCCTCCCTGAACTTCCTAGTTTAGAGGTATGAAGATAAGGGAAGATCACGCAGTTAACAGGTGACAGAATCATTTATTAGCCTAAAACTAACGTTATTTTGTTTTAGTTTCTCTCTGTTGCTCAGAACAAACTAAAATCGCTTTCAATGGCTACCCAGCCTCGGCTACAGGTCAATTACCATCAAGTCTTTCTGTTATGTAATTCCAGCCTACCGTTTTCTATCTTTATCTTTTCTTGGTATTCATCCAGGTTTTGGCAGCCAGCAAAAACAAAATATCAAGTTTTAAAGGATTCCCACTTTTACCTGTTCTTGAGGTTAGCATTCTCATATTGCTTCTTAGATGCCAAGATGCCATTGTGAGTTCTATGTTGTGTAACGGTTATAGTGTAGTTATGCTAACCTTTCTGATAATACCTTTTGGGTTTTCTATACCCATTTTAAACTCTACTACTTGTTCTTTTTTTTTTTTTTTTGTAACACTAATCATTTCATGTATGTGCATTACTTTTGAATTTATGAAAAATATTAAAAAAAGTGAATAAAAATGAATAAAATAATTTGTAAAGAATTAATTTTGATATCTTAGACAACACTCAACAAAAATGAATAAAAAAAATAGTCTGTATGAAGACATTTCCAGACAATCGATAACTCAGACTTTTTTAAAAGAATTAGTTTTGATATCTCAGACAACGCTCAACAAAAATGAATAAAAAATTAGGCTGTATGAAGACATTTCCAAATAATTGAGATAAGTCTAAAGCTGATGATGATGATTGTTGAAATAAGCCATTTATTGGTAATCCTGTTTACATCTTGAGTAGCTATATTACATGCTTATTCAATTTTACTAAATTAAAAAGTGTAATTCTTCCTCTTCAGAATTTCATTAGTTTTTAATTACTTGAAATGCCGTTACCGTCCTTCCAAAAATAGCATCCTTTTCTGAAGATTTATGACTGCCATTCATAGTTCACTTGCTGATTATAAAAGTTTGGCATAACTAATAACGTTGTTTTATGATGGTTGTCATGACTTAGAAAGCTATGCTGCGCCCTTCTCCTTGAACATCTGTTATTGCACATTGCTGTGCATTCTAAAGCCAATGTTTTCATGCTGCCTTGTGATTGTGTTTCTGCACTGTTTTTTCTTTATTTTTTTATGAAGGCATTTTCAATTATGTGCAGCATTTACGGCTGGAAGAAAATCCTATACTACGAGTACCTCATGTGGAGGCCGCTTCTATATTATTAGTTGGCCCCACCTTAAAGAAGTTCAATGATCGAGGTATACTTTAGTAGTTTTGATTCCACTGGAACTCCTAATATCATTCCAAATTTGTGATGTTGTTGATCTTTCAGCACTTTATATATAGTGGATACAGGGTTTCTTGCTGCTTGAGTATACTTTATTAGTTTTGATTCCACTTACATCAAATTTTCACTGTGCTCAACAATTGTTTACCATCCTTATTGACTACATGCCACGGCAGTGATCTGTTGGATTATTAGTGCCGTAGTCTCATTAATTTGTGAACTATTGTAAATATTCTGAAATTCTTATTCTACCACCTTATTAATCTATGGACTATTATAATTATTTTGTAATTATAATTCACTGTTTTAATATTTTTCCTATTATAAACTCTCTTAGGTTTGTGTAATACTCATACACGTTGCAATTAAACACTTAACCAATTCTCCTCAATTCTTATCAGTATGCGTTTATATAGTAGAGAAGGAGATCGCCTTGGTATACATGAGGTAATGGTAATTGCCTCCCCCTCCCTAGTTATGTGGAAGGGACAGATAAAATACTGTTAAGGAATAACGAACAATTTTAATTAACTAAAATTCAGTTCAAATGCATATGTTGGCGGGAATAAGAAAAAATGGTTAAGTGATCAAAACTGAATTGGTTATAAATTAAAACGGCTGTTGAAGCTAATGCTGTCCTGCAGTTTTTAGTTTACATTTTAATTTAGATGAATGGAAATTTAAAGCGCTATCTATTAGAAGATTCATTATGAAGAGGACTAATAATCTTTGTCTATTTAAACTCTTGATCATTTCAGGAGAATATCCTCTTAAAAAAATATTGAATAGTGGGATTTTCTGTGGATTTGATTTTTTACTTATGTTTATATCATAAACTTGACAGCGTATTGGTGAAAAGCTAAGATTAAGGCTTCGTTTGGGACTGCTTTTTTACCGCTTCTTAAAGTAGCTTTTTAATACAAAAACTTAAAATTTTGTACTAAAAAACTGCTTTAAGAAACAATAAGAAAGCCATCCCAAACGACGCCTAATTTTAATTTTGTCTGAAAGCTTGACTGTTGATTGTTGTCTCTTAGTAGTTAATTCAACAATTTCTCCAGATCTATCTCCCGAGGAGCTAGAGGTTGCAAAGTTATATCCAGCTCATACACCTATTTGCATTAGAGATGGTTGGCAATTTGAACGTCCAGAGCTGGCTGCTGGTGTGTCTTTTAGATTTTTAATTCACTTCTTATTTAGCCAATCTGATTTTCTGTTACAATGACATGCCTTTACGTGCTTCATTTACGACTTTCCTGCAATCATCATGATATATCCAAGGAGGGTTCTCCCTTACTTATACTTTCCAACTTACAATATATATTAATTGATACTAAGCACAAAGCAGTTATCTAGACATTCTTGCAAAACCATTACATTCTTTGATTTAGATGCTTTTCAAACTCCGACTTCAATGTGTTGGCTAAAAGGATAGTTATTTATGCATTTATGCAGAATGCCTTTTTTTATGTATCCTTGAAACAGCACACATAATTTGAAATGATGCCCCATACTTTGTCACATGGCTTCGGACAAATACAAAAATAGTTTCTGCCTATGATCTTAATTAAACTACATTAGCCTTAAAACTTGTTTCAAATTCCAGTCTGAACCAGGCATTGGAACTTCAACCTTAGATAGTTTCCATAATTATTTATGCATTTATGCAGAATGCCTTTTTTTATGTATTCTTGAAACGGCACACATAATTTGAAATGATGCCCCATACTTTGTCACATGGCTTCGGACAAATACAAAAATAGTTTCTGCATATGATCTTAATCAAACTACATTAGCCTTAAAACTTGTTTCAAATTCCAGTCTGAACCAGGCATTGGAACTTCAACCTTAGATAGTTTCCATAATTCTAATGGTTGGGTGATGGGATGAAAAGATGGTTGACCTCTAACATATCGAAGTGTCAAAGCTCTATTAGTTTGATATGCTGCTGCTTAAAAGGTGGATTTCCATAAAAAAGTTAACAACAGATAATTGGGTTCATTGGGCAACACACTAGTCGGAGGGTGGGCTTTGATGAATGGTTAATTTGCATTGTATACTCATAAAAGACCATTCTAAGCCTTATCAGCTGAACTTAACCATCTAGATTGGAATTATGCTATAAAACTTGTCAACTCTCTCTGTGCTCTTTAAGAAGCTCTCTTACCAGAAGCATAATTAGCTATCTTAATTTGCATTGTACTACTCATAAAAGACCATTTTAAGCATTATCAGCTGAATATAACCGTATAGACGGAAATGATGCTATAAAACATTCCAGCTCTCTGTGCTTTTTAAGAAGCTATCTTAACAGAGGCATAATTAAGTATCTTAATTGAAGCATTGAATGTGGGCTCTAAAAAATCATGCTCGCTTTGTTCAGAAAATTTATGTTTTTGGTGAAAATTTTAGAAGGGCAGATTAGATTACAAATAAGTCATCCTCTAAAGATGCACTTATGATCTTGTTCTAAATTTCTTATAAGCATAAGTCCCTTTGATTAATTATCCCTCTTGATGATGAGAGAGAACTTTCAATTCATGTTAGTCATTAAATGATTAGTGTTTAGCAAGGTTTAAAATTGCATAAATAAGCCTTGAGGCGTTTTTCATCCGTATGGCAAGGCGTAAGTCTCATGGATGAGAATTGCGTAAATGAGAATTTAAGGGTTTTAGCAGATAAATAATAGTAAGATTCTATTATACAATAAAAATATCTAAATGACAAGTGAAATTAGTAGAAAGTAAGAAAATATATGCAATAAAATCATGTCCCAAAGTACAGAACCACAAAATATAAGTCTATCAAAACTCCCAAAGTACAAATAAGAAAGAACATATTAAATCAAATCATGTTCCATCACTAAATGGGTCTTCAAGGAAATTTTCTTTTCCAATTATATCTATGAATGTCATGTTTTCGTCATCTCCAATGTTACTCACTTTTCTCTTCCCTGTTCAATAATAATGATTATTGTTATGTTAATTGTCCACTTGATATATATATATATATATATATATATATAATGTAATAGCATATAAGAAGTTGTGGAATACCTTTAGTTGCTTGTTGTGCTGCAGAACTAGTGGATGTGTGTGGTCTGGTACTAGTGGATGTGCCCACTTGATCTACTTCGCCCCTCAAGACGTTCACACTTAGATCCTCTAGTTGCAATTCTAATAATGGCAAATATGTCTCATCATCTATGAACCATTCATTATCAGACGTCACATCATCACACACCAATGGGTCCTCATCATCCTTCAACCCCTTGTTCCTCAACATCCTATCTCTCAATCTCTTGTTATGCATAATATACACAAGGGAGTTCATTCTGACCGTTGAAAGTCGATTTTTTCTCTTCGTTTGTACTTGACTATATGTACTACAGTTTCGCTCACACCCAGAGGAAGAACAAGTGAGACCCAAAACTCTAACAACAAAAATCTGTAACTCAGGGGTGGAATCACCAAATTGGATCCAGCATTCAATTATTTTCAAGAAGAAACAAAGGTAATCAGAAGATATTAAAAGTGTTATGCATGTATAAATACTTTGCAAAAATATGTATACCTGGAGACCATTTAGCAATAGTAGATTTTGTTGCTCGCAAACCAAAATATTCCTCCTATTTCGAAATAGAACAAGTTCTAAATTTGCGAGCTCCCTGACGTTCTGGTCCGGTATTAGTCATTCCATGCAATGATACAAGCCAAGCTTCACATTCGGATTTGAGGATTTCCTATCTGAATATTGAAATTGAGGATTGAGATAATATGTCGCTACATGATGATGGTGTAACTTGACCTCCCACCGAGCATCAATGATATCCCAAATCTCTTTATAACTTGCCTCCTCTCCTCCCAAGTTTGTGCAATTAACTCATTTGCCTTATCCATAGCATTATAAATAAAACCCATGGCTGGTTTCTTCTTGACATCCACTAAACGTAGAACTTGTACCAAGGGTCTCATGCTCAATATGACATAGGTCACACTAGCCCAAAATTTATCATTTAAAATTAGCCTTCGTATTTCCTTCCCCTCAGGTTTCTTTCCCCACGCAGAATTATGCCTTTGTGTCGATGTAAACATTGCTTCAAGAGGTCTCACATCCAGCAGGCTCTGTAGTGTCAAATAAGATGTGGCAAACCTATAGAATAAACTTGCATTATGAATTGAAAATGAATTGCAGTGCACAAATGTAATAACGAACCTAGTCGTTGCAGGGCGAATGATTTCCTTCTTTGAAAACTTTCTCATTAAGGCTAAGACCCATTAGTGGTTGTAGATAAACTTTGTCATCTTCTTCACCCTAAAAAGAGCGCTCTTGTGTTGAGGTAAATCACCAAGTTCCTCCAATATGAGATCAATACAGTGTGTTACGCAGGGGGTCTAATACAAGTGTTCCCTCTTCTCCATCAACATCTGACCAGCTGCTTTGTATGCACTGACATTGTCAGTCACCACATGAACAACTAATTGCTCCCCAATCTCCTCAATAATCACATCTAATAAATTGAAAATGAATTCAACATTTTTAACCTCATCTGAAGTTTTAACTGATCGTAAAAACACCGTACCGTAGGGATTGTTGACAAAGATATTAATCAAGCTCCTGCTCTTCATGTCAGACCATCCATCTGACATAATGGTAACACCACTCTCACTCCATGTCCGTTTAATCTCATCAATGCTCTTCTCTGTGTTCTGCAGCTCCTTCAAAATCCATGTTCGCAACTCGTACATGGAAGGTGTCTTCAACCCTCTCTCATACAACTTTACAGACCGCAACATATTGAAGTAGGCCGGTGATGTCGCAACATTAAATGTTATGGCATTCTAAAAAAAAAAAATCTGCCAATATCCATGCAAAACTGCTGTCGACCCTCTCTAGTACCAGCCGCAGGCATCATCTGTGCTTGTCCTCTATCCTCTCCTGGATTAGTCATATACTGGTCCATAGGACTCCGTGCACCTCTATTATGTATAGTAGAGGAAGAGCTCTTTCCACTCTCGCTCCCGAAGTAAGCACCCGAAGTAAGCACCATGTTCGATCCTTTCATCAAATTGCTCATATTATAAATGTTTGGCTGTGACACTCTTTTTCATATAAGCTGTAATTTCCTCCTTCACCTTATCCGAAATATTCACACATGGTGCTAAATTCTTATGTGAGTCGGATAAGTGTTCCTTTATGCGAGTTACTCCTCCCTTCACCACCTTATCACAAAAATTACATTTTTAAATACATATATGTCTTCTCACCGTGTCCTACATCAACTTGCACACTGTATTTCCAAGAAGGGTCACGCTGTAATGACGTATTTGTCTTTTTCTTGCCCCTAACCATGTTTTCTAAAGCACAAATGCAAAATAAAACACAAAAAATATAAAATAATAAGCATGAATATGAAATAATAATGTCCAAGAGATAAGAATTCACATTTAAAGTCCTCACCCCTTCCTCCTCTCCTATAGAGTCCAATGTCTTCCAATCAAAGCATGCACTAATGAAGAAACAGACTAACACTAACAACTATTACTAAAGATGATGAATACAACAATATGTTGGGCTGCCGAGGGTCCAAGGCGACCTAGCGGTACCGAGCATGTACCTAGCGGTACCGAGCATGTACATAGCGGCACCGAGAACTATGACCCTAGCTTTCCCATAAGTTGAAAAATCAAACCCTAAAAAAAAAAAATCCCGAAGAACACTTGAAGAAGTGATGTAGAGGGGCAGCCGGAAACAAAGGACTCACCGGCGAGAGGCGGCGCCAGCGGAAACGTGCGGGAGAGCCGGATCGGGCGTCTGCGTGCTTCATGCGCGACTTCGATTGACATCTTTGATCAGGTAAGTGGGTATAAGGAAGAATTTAAGAGGTTTTTTAAGTAAGTGGGGCCCATATTAGAGCTGTACTGATGTGAAACAACATGCGGTGAATCAAGAATTGCACTTGAGAAATTAATAGAAGAAATGACTTTTAGCTTGCTATCAAAACTCTTTGTTTGCTCAAGTTGAGTTTAAGAATAAAATGTTGATAGATTAAGCAATGACAAGAAATTATATGTAGAGATTAGAGGAGCTTTTCAAAATAACACCAAGAATTTAAGTAATGCAAATAGCTAAGAATAACAAAGCCCCAAATTTAATATCTAGA